GGGAAGAAAACTCTCCCTTTGCCTTCGACTCCCTCTAGTACTGCGTAGTTCACAAATATTTTTCAAAATCACTTCATCAAAGAAAATTTGACAGTTGTATCTTTTGTGAATTTGAATATTTGAAAATTTGTGGTCAGACTAAAATTTAGAGTTTTGCAGTATTTATGGATTACAGATCTCTCCCCACCCAACAAAAAAACAGGTCATCACATGAACTGACGAAGAAATATGCTCACTCGCACACCCAAATCAATACTGATGAAATTCTCACCTATATCAAATCCGAGCCGTCATATGTTCTGACAAAGAAGCATGCTCACGTGAATCCCAGCAGTCACATATTCTGATTAGGAAACATCCCTGACCAAGCTGAATCCCAACAATCCCCTTTTACTGACAAAGAGACAACTCTTCATTACCTGACTCACAGCTGTCTGATGTTTGACAAAGAAATAAACCTACCCCACTTAAAATCTGTCTGTCAGATGTGCTGATGAAAAATATTGGGCTACATTCGCGTATCACAGTTGAAACGATACAGGTGTGGCAGAAATATTTCACGATAAACGAATGCACTTGGACCGAATTATAGGCAGAGCTAAAAAAAATAACAATAACAATATATCAAGAAAATCATTTCCTTCTTTCACACGTCCACTTAATTATTTATGGTCTGGACCCCTCAATCTTCAATTGCCGATTATTCCTGAGGTCCTTGAATGGAAAGATTCAATGAATAGATTTTCTTCAATTTTTTTCAGCATACCAAGAAAGTTAAGGACCTTGATGGTAAAATCATTGAGTGCTCTTGGGATGGCAAAGAGTGGCAGTTTATGAGACAGAGGACTGATAAATCTCATCCCAACAGTTACAACACAGCTATGGGTAAATATAGACAAATCTCACCCCAACAATTACAACACTGCTATGGGTTGATATAGACAAATCTCACCCCAACAATTACAACACTGCTAAGGATAAATATAAATAAATCTCACTCCAACAGTTACAACACAGCTATGGGTTAATATAGACAAATCTCACCCCAACAGTTACAACACCGCTATGGGTAATTATAGACAAATCTCATCCCAACAGTTACAACACAGCTATGGGTAAATATAGACAAATCTCACCCCAACAATTACAACACTGCTATGGATAAATATAGATAAATCTTACTCCAACAGTTACCCAACTGCTATGGGTAATTATAGACAAATCTCACCCCAACAGTTACACAACTGCTATGGGTAAATATAGACAAATCTTATTCCAACAGGTACAACACTGCTATGGGTTAATATAGACAAATCTCACCCCAACAGTTACAACACCGCTATGGGTAAATATAGACAAATCTCAATCCAAGCAGGTACAACACAGCAATGGGTGATTATAGACAAATCTCACCCCAACAATTACAACACCGCTATGGGTAAATATAGACAAATCTCATCCAAGCAGGTACAACACTGCTATGGGTAAATATAGACAAATCTCACCCCAACAGTTACAACAAAGCTTTGGGTAAATATAGACAAATCTTACTCCAACAGTTACAACACAGCTATGGGTTGATATAGACAAATCTCACCCCAACAATTACAACACTGCTAAGGGTAAATATAGATAAATCTCACTCCAAAAGTTACAACACAGCTATGGGTAAATATAGACAAATCTCACCCCAACAGTTACAACACAGCTTTGGTTAAATATAGACAAGTCTCACCCCAACAGTTACAACACAGCTTTGGTTAATATAGACAAATCTCACCCCAACAATTACAACACTGCTATGGGTAAATATAGATAAATCTCACTCCAACAGTTACAACACAGCTATGGGTAAATATAGACAAATCTCATCCAAGCAGGTACAACACTGCTATAGGTAAATATAGACAAATCTCATTCCAACAGTTACAACACAGCTATGGGTAAATATAGACAAATCTCACCCCAACAGTTACAACACCGCTATGGGTAAATATAGACAAATCTCATCCAAGCAGGTACAACACTGCTATGGGTAAGAAGGGAAAAGTGCAACTCAGCTACTGGTTGATAAGTTTAAATCTATGTACTTCAGTAGAGATAAATCCACACACGACAGTTAAGTTGAGAATTTTACAACTCAACTGTGGGTAAATAATTTCAAGGTTGATGATTGTCGAAATACTGTATGTAATACTAGATATGCTCTTTACTCACATTAACGGTCATCATGAACTTGCCTTCATTATGACTGCCCACTTAGTGAGTAGGGTATATATAGTAATCACTTTGTTGGAGCATCTGTCCGGGTGTTTGTCCATGCATTTTTAACGTGTAACAGTAGCATGTTAAATACTTATACATTTTAAAATGATGATGATGAAATTGCATTCATAGCTTTATGAATGCGTTTTTTTCTGATAATGCTTATAGAAGTACATGTAATGGAAATGTGAATATCTAAGTTTGTTAGGAGAAACTGTTCTGATCTCGGATCAGTTGTAATGTCTTAAAAGAAACAAGTTTTAAAAGAAATGAAAGTAATATTCAGAAATGGAATAACTAATCCAGGCAGAAATAGAATAACTGATCAGCCTGGTGCCTTTGATTATTATCAATAGAAAAATATCTTTGTATTTCCAGGAGTTTGGCAGAGTATACAGAAACCAGTGACAAAAGACATTTTATTCAGTGCTGTCGAAAACTTACCTAGTCATTTGACTAAACCAGAGCAAGTGAGAACACGGCCCCCGGGGCCGGAGAATACGGGTGAGGGAAGCGACAGAGACCTTATGCCACCTCCCTTCAAACAATCCAGACAGGATGAGACTGGTACATGAAAGTGCTTCTCATTGATGTGTCATATTTAAAAAACAATGCATCAGACTTTGATGAAGTTTAATAAGGATGCCTGTCATGCGTCAGAAGATGAATGCGTGACGCTTCCATACTGAGACATGTTGTGAAACTCATGTGTTGCTAAAATGATCTCTATACAAAAGGAAAAACCCTCGCTGTATAAAAGATATCCGGAATATGATATTATAATATTTTGTTTTGTCATTTCTAAGATAAATGATAAAAGACAGGTTTTTCCTAACTGACCCAGTAAGTCAGAGATGGGTGGTGGGTACTGACAGCCATTACAGGTCTCTAATACTTGCCATTGACAACAAACTTATTGCAATTCAAAGAAGGGACATCATGGATTGATTCCCAAGACAACCATGTCAAAATATACCATAAATGTTTCAAGTCGTTTAGCACAGAAAATGCCATAGATGTTGTTTCAAAACAGTCCGTATAAAAATCACCATGAATGATGTTTAAGGATGGTCATCACAAAAATAAAAATCCCAAATCACAAGGTTTTCAATTGTTTGGATGATGCAAACTTTTGCAGTCTGATTTAAAACCCAGTAAGTTAAGTAGCACACTTATTTGTACATGATACAAATTCTTGTCTTCAGACTAGAAAATTTTCAATAATGTTTCTTGTGATACAAAGCTTAATTGATGGTCTTTTAAGATGGACAACATAGTTTCCCAAAAACTGAGAAAGAAAGAATCTCGTTTTAAAAGCAGGACCGATCATAACCCCAGGTGGATTATTCTTATCCATAATTACCAGCCCAGGAGGTGTTACTGTAATGTTGAATGTTTACCAACACGGCATACTTTGTATTTGCAACTGAGGGTACTTGAATGTGTGTTTACCTACTGATCAGGATCATTTGAGTGCTTACATACTGATCAGGATCATCTGAGTGCTTACATACTGATCAGGATCATTTGAGTGCTAACATACTGATCAGGATCATCTGAGTGCTTTTCCCAAACCACTGGGTACATTCGCGTTACCGGTTGAAACGGTTGAACCTGTAAAGAAAACGACAGGTACAGATCTTGACCGAGGCTGACCTCAGGAAAATTTGGCACGTTTAGATTGAGGGGTCCAGACATGCCTGACCGAAACTAAAATGCTGACTATTGCCAATTTGCGTTATTTCTTTCTAAAACAATGTCAAGTCACATGTAGTTTTTAAGTTACGTTATGTAATTCAGTGGACGGATGAAAGAAGGTCATAATATTCTTGAAACACTGTTTTTTATTCTCCAAAACTGTGGATTTGTAGCTCTGCTTATAGAACGGTCCAAGTGTGTTCGTTTATCGTGGAAAATTTCTGCGCCACACGTACCGTTTCAACCGGGATACGCGAATGTAGCCTTAGTGTACATTCGCGTTACCGGTTGAAACGGTTGAACCGGTTGAACCTGTAAAGAAAACGACATGTACAGATCTGGACCGAGGCTGACCTCAGGAAAATTTGGCACGTTTAGATTGAGGGGTCCAGACGCGCCTGACCGAAACTAAAATGCTGACTATTGCCAATTTGCGTTATTTCTTTCTAAAACAATGTCAAGTCACATGTAGTTTTTAAGTTACGTTATGTAATTCAGTGGACGGATGAAAGAAGGTCATAATATTCTTGAAACACTGTTTTTTATTCTCCGAAACTGTGGATTTTTAGCTCTGCTTATAGAACGGTCCAAGTGTGTTCGTTTATCGTGGAAAATTTCTGCGCCACACGTACCGTTTCAACCGGGATACGCGAATGTAGCCNTACCCCTCCCCTCTTTTACCTTGGATGATATAAACTGCTCATTTGTATTTGATATGTTTTCCTTTTAAAGGAACATTTATTTATAATCACCTGGAGGTAAATACATATCATCTTGTTCTTAAAGGAGTATTAAATATTCATAAACACCTATGATCATATTCCTCTCCTGATAAATTCTGGGTTTATTACACATGTACCTTTAAATATAAAACAGGTAAGGTTATATATAATTATGACATTGTCTCTTGGTCTTCCTGGTGTAACAGGAAGGAAAATGCACAGCCAGACCAGGATTTGAACCTTGAACCTCTTAACTCTTAGACAGATGCTCTTACCAATTAGCTACCTGGTCGCAGGTGATCGACCCTGTCCAGTTCCACTACGCTGACATAGGATCCTTTTACGGTAGCCGTTTTGTACATAGCATGTGTCTGGGAGCTAGTACCCCTCATTGTTCAAACCCCTGGTATTGCAAGGAACTCTTAACCCTTTCACCACTGTAGACCATAATGGACTCTTCCAGATTAATGCATGGTAGAGTTCACTCAAGTTACATGGGAATGAAAGGGTTAAGCAAATTTGTAACAGTACCGGTATACTGTTACATCAATGCACATTAATTTATTATAAAATGTCACTTTTTGTTCTTCTTAATAACGTATAATAGCATCAAGGATTATGTTCACTGAATCTTTTAACAGATCCAGGGTAATGTTCAGCAAAGAGATGAAATTATATCCTAATCAGATGGGAAGGAAGTGTGTTATCATGGCAAGACTTTGGTTATATAGAAAAGTGTGTTAATAAATGTATCATGTTAATGTCTTAAGGTTCCCTGTACCAATGCCAAAATTTGTAAATATGCATTGGAAACTTTATCAAAATCATTTCTGGAAAGAAAATCCTAAAACCATATCTAGAAGGACTTTGATGACAAAATAAGATAAAATAAAAAATAAAATAAAAAAATAACAACAGTGTTGATTGCGTAAAAAATTAGTTGGGCTAAACCAGGACCCGTATTCATAAAACCCTTCTCATGCTCAAGCATTGAGTTTGTGCTCAAACCAACTTTCTTGTAACTCGCTTAAATCTTGTCAAACGGTCAAAAAGTCAAATGTAAACATTGAAAACAGATTTTGGCTTTAATTCCATACTTGAGCATGGAATACGGGCTCCCCAGATCAATATATCCAAAACGAAATTAAAGGGAGGTTACTGTGTACAGGAAAATCCCCACCAGTTGGATAGGGATTCATAGCTATCATTGATTGTAGATATAAACCAATCAATGTTTTGAGAATTTGTCTATTTATTGGAGACAAGTGGCGTTGAATTTTTTTTTTCAACATCAAAACAATAAATAAACAAGTTTAGATTTGTGCCAGTGTGTTGTGTCATCTTTCATATTTGTACATATAAGTTGAAATGGAATAAGATCATTCATTAACTTATTTTCGGATTGATGGACTAAATCATGTCATTCTTTAACCATTTTTTTATGTCAATATATATACATAAAAAAAAAAAGTATTTCTCTCATTCCATCTACCAGAATAAGCTCAGAAACCATGAAAATGTGTTTGGACTGGCTACATTTTTTTTAAATATCAATTTTCCCCTGAGCTTTTTAGACGAAAGCCAATCTGTTGGCCAGATTTAACATGCCAGGAAAATAAATCGTATCTTTCTAATGGAGTGTAGATAGAAAGTTTCTACAACCTCTTCTTACCCTGGATAGCTCTATCTTACACGCATGGAAATGAGAGAGAAACATAATCCTATATATATGTTAAATCATCAGTGAATTGTTCATCAAAATGATCCTCAAAGTGATCTCGGAGTTGTGAGTATATATACGTGATGTCAATGATATATTAAGGCGACAGATGCTAAGAACAATGCACCTGACCATCTCTGAACTATGGAACATTATTTCAACTTTAAGCACATCCTCGATATCCAGGGATAACGCTCACTTTCCTCTCTGCACGCCACCCCTGGAATATGCCATAGCAAAATCAAAGCTCAGTGAGCAAATTGGCGACGAATTTCATTATCTGTTTACATGTACACATCAACCAATTCTCAATAGTAGGCGAAAACATATGTCCAGATATTATTATGAAAGACCAAACAATTATAAATATCATACATTATTCAATTATGTAACACAACATGAATTGACATCATTGGGTAAATTTATTACCGATATTAATGACATAACTAATTCACAATACTAATTTCCATCCTGTATTATTGTCACCCATTTGTATATATGTATTCTCTACACTGCAGCACATTGTGAATGAGACAAGAAGACTAGTTTGATCCTTTGATGAACATCAAAAGAATCTCGCGGTCGCGTAACGATATAACTGTCTGGCTTTGAAGTCGGGTGTCGCTCCTCTATAATCTTCAAAGAATAAGCATCCGCCTAGTGATTTGTCAGGATTTTTTTTACCTGACACCGATCAAATAGCTAGCCGCGTGCCTTCAATTTTGCTATGACATACTCCAGGGGTGGAGAGAGCGAAAGTGAGCGTAACCCCTAGATATCGAGGATGTCGTAGCCCCTGGATATCGAGGATGTCGTAACCCCTGGATATCGAGGATGTCGTAACCCCTGGATATCGAGGATGCATTAAGCAAAGAATATAATCCAAGTACAAAATCATCAAAAAAAACGAAAAACTATCGAATCAAGAAAAAAATATTGAATAAAAAGTAAATAAAGTAAGAGTCGAAAGATAACATATTAATACCTCTGTAACATGACGTGAAAAAAATGGCTTGTCATAGTATACGTCTTCATGATTCTGGGACAATTATAGGTCTACCGAAGAGTTTTCCATATTTAGGACCGAGACATATGGTATTCTATTTAAAAACTTTTGTGTGACATTTGACAATAACATTTCTATTACTTCTGACTCATGGAGTCAGCATAATGGAAACGATTAAAAACACATACTCAATGTAGAAATTACTCGGATATTTAAGGAGTATTGCAAACGTGTTCTTTTGCAAACACGAATATTTGTACGACTTGCGTGCAAAATCTTTATTTCAAATCATCTAGGCATTCGCTGCCCCAAGGATGTAATATTTATTGAAGATAAGATGTCTGACAGAAGCCAAGTAGACTCCAAAATGGGATAACTACTGCTCTATCTTAGCCCATATTCGTTAAACTATTATCATGCTCAATCACGGATTCTGTGCTCAAACTATCTTTCTTGTAAATCGTAAAAAAAATCAAGAAGTTAAATGTGAACATTAAAGATAGAATTCGGATTTAAGTATTTCTTTCTAAACAATCTTCACAATCATTGACAAAATGTGGAGTTTCATTCATTTATCACTGGAACAAGACATTGAGTTTGAGCACAGAGTCTGCGTTTGAGCATGAGAACG